TTATAAGTGTTGTTTATCCTTCTGACCAGAAAAGATATATACTGATATGTTTCTCCATATTCAGTTGGTGCTCAAGTGCTCAAGGCACAGACATGAAATTTGGTGAAAAGAAACAAAGAAAAACTAATTCACTCTGCCTCTTTTATTTTCTTTACTCTGTGAAGCTAGGGGCTGGTATAAGACCTTTTTTTCTAATGATTATTCTAAAGAAATTGGACCACTGCTGTAAAACTGCATTATACAGTAGTTACTGGGCATGACGTTACAATATAATTTTTTTGATACATATGAAAAGGTGAAAAAAATTACCCAGAAATGTCAAGTATCTGAACAACAACTGATATGCGCACACTCAGACACACACAGACATACAGTCACAGACATAGCTTGTGTCCATTAAAATGGACAAAAAATGGATAAAAAAAAAAGTAGCAATCCTTGCTACTTTGGGTAGTAAACAGCCACAACCAACTACACCCATCCACTGCAGCTGACCCAACTCACACTCTACCACCTGAATAAGATACTTGAACTGTGACTCTCACTGTGACATCGTTACCAAAAATATACAAAGAGGTTATATCAGGTAGTTAACCAGTTCTAACATTTTAGCATGCAAATTAAGTTTCTGACTTTAATTTAAATTGAATGATATATTTATAGTTTTCATAATTAAATCCCACCATAGCGTTTCCACAATGCTGATCCTTAAGTTCCCACCCACATGACTACATGGTATCAAAAACAACCACATACAAAAAAAAACAGAACTTCATTTTTCACTCCTGTCTTTTAAGTGTAGATATTGACTCTGCTTGCAGATAAGGCTTTCTATACAACACATTTTCCTGCAGAGCTAGATATATATAATGAACCCAACATCTATTTTCATGTGGCTGCATCAGTGACAGTGACATTGCATCTTTTTCTACGGTATATCTAAAAGGAGAGGCACTTAGTCTTAAAACATCGCAAAGAAGTCTGTAAGAAACATTAGACCTGAAACAATGGCAAACTGTAAGCAGTTCACATAAAACACTCCTTTGTTTTTCCTCATATTGTATAAAATGTGCACAATGGAGAGAGAACATCAAGGAAAGGAAAATTTAAGGTAAAAAAATCCCAACAACAATGAAACAAACAAACAAAACTATTTCCACTACCATGCGCTACTTCATTCCTAAATTCTGCAGAGGTATGAATTCCATCTT